AATATTTAAGCTATTTAATTTTAACTCTATATTGTTCAATAAGAAGCTTGTATTAGTCAAGGTATAACCCGTGTCGTGTAGTATAATGTAAGTAAGCGAGCGGGTATGGATAAGTAACGAGGGTAAACAAGGGGAGATACCCTATGACCTGCAATGTAGTGTGTGTTGGTTTTGTGTGTATAATGTAGAATACTATAATGTATAATGGTATTGACTATTGAGAGTATTGACATATTTCGCTTTATACTCGTTGCACTGCAATCTTGTATTTTCAGTATTTACGCATGTCATCTGTATTACAAGAAGTACATATTATTTAAATTGTCGAAAACATAGACTTATAATATATTATTAATTATTGATTATATTATATTATATATAAAAGTCTATGCTTGAAAACCTATGGACATGCAGAAGTTCATAACGGACTATATTATATCTATATATTAGGTACATACGTCTCATAGTAGGTAATTACTATTATCTACATTTTCAAAATGTTTATACATGCTATTATAAATAGAACCTACAGGAAGTCAGGTTATAAGTTAAATTAAAAGGGAAATTATTAGTGGGGGAAGAGAAGATGGAGAAGATGGAGGAGGATATTATGGTCAGATAAGAGTAGATACCCTAAAGGAATGGAAAAAGGGAATAGGTAAGAATCTTATATCGAAGAGGGAAGACTGTCGGTGGAGCTTGTAGGGGAAGAGTTTAAGGATTTAGTATATAAGAATAGGAAGTTAGCAGATTATGGTCGGCAGTAGGTAAACGTGACAATGCGACTGTGGGAGGAAATGAAAGCGATAAGTATTTAAGTTCAAATAATATATTAGGTAGAATAGAAAAAATGCAAATTGTGTAACGAAAATAAATTGTCTAACGATGTCTAACATGTAGAAATAAATAATTTTCTCACTATACCCAAATAAATAAAAGAAAGACATCCAGTATTGTTAATTTATTTAAAATACAAATGTAGTAATAACGATTCATTTATGTTGTAAATAATTGATGTTAGCTTAAAATGACTGCTTGTTTCTGCGTGTTGGTATTTTGTATATTCAACAGGTACATATACGCATTAAAGTAAGAATATTTGTTTTTTAATATACTAATTGTATTCCAGAATGCAATAAATAAAATTGTTCAAGAGGGTAGAACAATTTTATAAATAATAGTCATTGTATCCAAAGAACACTTACTATGAATCTATTTTTGTTTACAACGTATACCTAAATAATGATATGTTTTCCCATTAAATACATAAGACACTCGAATTAGTTACCAATGTAGTCTTGATTCAGGTTTTCAATCGAATTCGATAGACGATAATATATGTACACTAACTAAGTTTGAATTCAAAATGAAAGCTTTGGCTTTGTTTGAACTACATAAGTGTTTGAATGACCGACTATATTATAATATTATTATCCCATATTAATTTTAATACAGAGTTTATTCTCGTCTCGTTATCTTAACAGTCAGGTATATTATACTGTAAGTATATGCATTTTTCGAACGTTGAACTTGCAGTTTGTAGTCCGATGTGTAATAATTGTTAATTATTCATCTTAATTTAACGACTAAATTAAATTGTACAACCTCTTATATTAATACACTCTTTTATCATTATCAAGGTTAAATAAATATTATATTGACAAACTGTAGCGTGTCTCAATGATAATTAATAAATGGTCGATGTTTAATGAGCATCAGGCGACAGACGATGTTCGTACAACCATTGATTAAATATATACATATGTATATAATATAATCAATGGTAAAACATAATTTGAACATATCATTATTTGACTAATCAAATATTTGAAATTATAAATTAGTATTGCTAAAATTTGAATTAGTCATAGAATATTTATATTTAACTACGATTTCTATATTCTAATGTAGTGTTACACGCGTACGTGGTATATTGTCTTTGATATGTTTAATATTAATTTGATTGACAATATTGGTTGGATACTTTGGGTATACGTTCAAATTCATGAAAATATAAATTGTAATTTCAGTGGTTCTCTTCCCCGTATATAATATGTTGGTACCCAGGGTTGGACAGTATATTCGATACAATTATCTCATATGCAATTATATCTTGTATCTTGTATCTCGTACAATTTATGAAATATCGAGTATCTTGTATCTCTTTAGATTTTTAATAAACTTATCGATTATTTCATAAAATAATTTTATCGAAGGATTCAATTCTGATTTTTACCATCAAAATTAATATTTAATATTAAATTAAGTACCTATTATTTTAATATCTTATATATATATATATTTCTTCTGTCCGTGTGTGAGTATTCAAACTCCTACTAAACAGCTGCACCGATTTTGATGAAATTGTTTGCATGTGCTTCATTGGGTCCTTGAAGGTTTAGGTTCACAATTGGACCGGTGGGCCAAACCCGGGGACGTGCGCAAGCAGGGATTTTGAGATTTAAGACGGACATTTTTGTTTTTTAATGGTTGCTATTGGTTATAGGAAAAATAATTAGTAGAAGTTGGTATTTATTTATTATTGGTTGCCATTGGTTATTCGGACAGATCAGGTACAAGTATGCATCAAATCGAATGTTTGCACATTGCCTACCAAGGTAGCTGAGTTGCACTTAATGCAGTGAATTAAACCAAAAAAGAAGTTGAACAATCACAATTTTTTTAAGAGTTGTCATTTTTTACTAGCAACGTATAGTGCTAGGGATCAGCTAGTTTAATTTAATTTAATATTTATTTTACGAATACAAATATTCAGGTAAGTTTACCAGTCACAGCCCACAGGTGATTTTCTGTGAGCTGTAGGTTGTTGGAAATTATTTTTCAACCCATTACCGATAAATCATAATACATAGTTATATCTGTGACACATTCAATAGGACTTTAAGTCTTTACTGTATCTACGTCTGTACCTAATTAGTTATTACTTTATTAGATATGTGTAATTTGTATATGTACCTGTCTATCTTTTGCGTGACGGCAATAAAGTAGGTAATAGTTTTATTATTTTCTTTGCCGTTCCCATTCATTAACGAAGTGGCCATCTTCACAATAATAAATATAATTTTTAAAAACCTTGTGACTAGTTTTATTCAAATGTATTGAGTATCTACTTTCTAGTATCGAGATACTCCAAAGTCAACGATCTAGTATCTAGTATCGTGGTACTGTTTTCTGATTATCTTGCCCAATTCTGTACATAGCGCATGTACCTACATTTTAACTAATGTTTATTGTCCAAACCAGCAGTTCCCACATAGATTTTGGAAAGGGCCAAATATTATTTTTGAAAATTATTCGCGGGCTGCGTGTAGTAAATTTTAATTTGCGCATAATACAAGGTGTATTTTTCTCCCTGGGACCCGGGTGTAAAGATTCCTAGTTCCTAGTTACATTTTGAACGATAGTAATTATAAGTCATAAAAGTAAAAAAAAATATTATTTTGATAAAATTATTTTATTTTATTTACTCGAGTGAAGAATGCCGGATTTCAGAATGTAAAATTCAGTTTTTGTGCGGGCCGTACAAAATTTGTTAAAGGGCCACATGCGGCCGCTGGTCTTTACTCTTTACTGTATAATTAGTAACCACAATTACCTATTATTAAGGTATTGTTAAGTATTATATCTGCGGATTAACAGCTGAACCTAACAGCTATTATTTGTGTAGATATTTAGATAGATAGATTTCAGAAGATATCGAGTATGTATAAATAATATATTATTCTGGTATAAATAATTATAATTATCATCAAAATATAGCTATAAAAAGAAAAATTTTTATTGGGCTGCAATTTACCAGCAATGGTAAATTAATTGTCTTTAAATTGTTAAATTAGTCTGAAAATAAATGTATCTTTCTCTGTTGTTAATACTGACAATATATATTCTTTCACGTACATTTTGATTTATACTAAATTTACTTGCAGTAGAACCGAAATCATTTTTAATTAGGTATAATAGTTATGAACGTATGATACGTGTATTATAGAGTTTATTGTCAGTTGCCTCTCTAAATAATTTGAAATAATATTTTGTAATTTAACATATTATTTGTTTTCCTAAAATAAGATAGTATATTATTAGTTATTACATAGTTATATACTTATAAAGTACATAATATGCATGTACATTTATTTACTAATTGACACACTCCTATATTACAATCTTATTGTTAATTTGTAAATATAATTTACAAGAGTCGTTCACATTTTAAGAGGTTATTTACTTATGTAGTGTTATACCTAGTTATTTTATGTGTTTATTATTAAATTATAATAATAATTCATAAACTCATTTTGCTCATTTTATACAACATATAGCTATATTTTATCCTTGTTATCCTTATTGAAGAACCACAAGAAAATGCTTTTTATTTTAGACATATTAACTCGTTGAATATTTTTTTAGTTATTTTTTTTTTTTTGGTTAATATTTTTACGCATACTATTATATTTGTATCCAAATTTAGTGTGTTTTGCAAAAAAGGTAATGGAAAATGGTATCTCCTAGCCCTTAAGTATATTGTGTGGCAAGAGTGGTAAGTGAGCTATTTCAGTCGCGACGTGTCACGGGCTGTAGACTGACATTGCACGAGCCGTCGATCCACACATAATTTTTTTGTAACACCTCTGCCGCTTCCGAAACCACCTGTACATCGATATTGTGGTGAACCATAATTATTAACTGTTCTTGCACAGTGCTCGCCTTCTCGGTATCTAAATTTACCAAATTGTTGCACAGAACAGCGTGGGAGTAACCTACCTACCACTTACCAGTAGTTAGTATTTGATATAATAGACAAATATATCGATACTTCCATGAATATTAATCCTTTTAGGACGGGAAAATGTAATTTTCCAACTCTTCTTTAACCGTCATCGAAAATAAAATTTCTGTCCAGGCATGACAAGAACTTAAATTTATGTACCTAAGTATGTAAAAATGTTAAATTCATTAAGGTTTTATAATTTATAGGCAGCATGACTGATACAATAAAAGATCTTTGGCGCGAGGCAGATGCAGTTTGTTTCGACGTGGATTCTACAGTTATTCAAGAGGAAGCAATTGACGAAGTTGCTAAATTTTGCAATAAAGGATCGGAAGTTCAAAAACTGTAAGAATATTGTTTATTAAATTAAAAAAATGTTTATCTCTTTATTGGCATAAATACTAAGAAAATTATTTGTTGTAAGGGGATTTGATGATGCGGTGATACCTATTCTGCCTAAGTCTAACACACGCGCACCACATGGGCATTTAGGCTTGTTTTATTTCCACCGTACCGAGTAATCTAGTGAAGTGATAAGAATTCTGATGAAAGATTTGAATTTGTCGTCTAGTCTAATTGAAATTGAAAATTCCACATTTTTGATTTTATACCCCGTAAATCCTAAAAAGTTAAATTAAAAGATTGTCATATTATTTACATTTTTGAAGAAGTGAAAATCAAAAAATGTAGGAAAGTCTAAGTAGTCTTTGCGACAAATTCACATCTGTTTCAGAGTTCTTATCACTTCACTAGAACAATCAGTACGTTGGAAATAGAACAATACTAAATTCCTATACTATGTTGCTCATGACTTGTTAAACAAAGACAGAAAATCACCGCTTACCAATCCCCTTATTATAAAGTCTAATATGCAAAGTGGTACCATAATAATTAATATTAGGTTCTATATTATAATTATTTTCATGATTTTTTAAATTAAATAATATTGGGCAGGTCGCAGATGTAGGTACAATGTATTTAATATTAAGTACCTACTAACAGTTGTCAATGGTAATCAAGCTGAACTCTTGCACTCATAAATCATCATTGTTATATATGTATTGAAAATATGTTAATAGTCTCATCTGTTTGCGTATACTAATATTTTATTGTTAAATTAGGGTTTGATTACTAATAATTGATTAAAATTTAATTGGATAATTAGGTATCTATATCGTTTTTATCGGGTAGATGTTTAATTAATTTGTTACATGTCTTTAAAAATCATACGATGTTACGATGTTATTATATACATACTACAAAATAAATTACATCAAATTAATCAATAAGAAGCCTATCTGCATATGCGATAAATCATTTAAAAATTAGAGGCACCTTTAAGTTTCAAGGTCAAGAAGCCACATAAAAGTTTTGGGTTTCATCATTCATTCTATTTATTATATAGGTAGGTAATAGGTATAAAAGGCATGAGCACCTACGTCTTATTGCTGTATAGGTACCGGTACGAGATTTACCTTTAAATATATACAGGGTCGTTCAAATTTTACATTTCCAAAATATCGTAGATTAGGTATGTTCATTTGTCTATGATTGTAAATAATTATCACTGTTTTCATAATGCTTACAATTTTAATGTATTGCTGCAATCGGTTTTATTATGTTAAAACGGCTATGAGGCAAAAATGTAAGAAATGTTTACAACACATTGAAATACTCAAATACGCCATAACGTATAAAAAACCATCTGTTTATTTTCATTTTTAAATGTTTATGCTTTTCTATTAAACACTAAAGAAACGTAGTCACGTAGATGTAGAATACAATAGAATAACGATAAAATAAGAAAACCGTTGTATGAGAATTTGTAAATTTACCGATATTTACCAATATATTTACGAATGTCTAATTTCAAAATAATGTAAAAAATAAATTTGAATTTCCAGTAATCTTTTATTTTGTTAAATGTAGGTAAACTTAAGGGGAATCTTGTATTAAATTTACAATGTCTATGAATAGACAATTTTTATGAATTTCAAACTCGAAATAATTTGCCAATTTTTGTGATTTTGACGAAATTTGTCAACATTTTTACTTCAGACGCTCATAATTAAGTATTATTGTGGATTCACGCTCAACTTTTTTTTTAATGTCCACTAACATCAACTAATAAGAAACGTTTTTTTTTATTACATTTCTCATTATTTCCATACTCTGAATTATAAACATTGAAATTACTCAATTCACATCTTTATTCTTTGTATGTTACCTCAAAACAATGTGGACACTACGTTATTCAAAATATACCTATATATATTATATTGTATTTGTATGCAGTGGCGTCCGCAGGGGAGGTCTAATGGCCCCTCCCCCATTCCCTGTATTATTCCTTTAAAATATATTTATCAAGTTTCAACTGTCAACTATAGTAAGCAAGACATAAATTTCATATATAAGTCTTACCTGAATGAATTCATTTTTGAAAAAACATCGTATTTGCATACCAATTTTCATAAATTATCTGTAATTTTTCGGTAAAAATATAAACTACTTGTATGGAAGACCTTGTATTAAATTGTCTAACCTTAGCTATACACATTTAATATTTTATAAGTTTTGAACTGCAAATTAATTGTGGTTTGACGAAATTTGAACTTTAAATGCTTATAAAAAATAACCATGATGTCTATGTATCGTTAATATTTTAGCTATAATAAAAACTTACATTTATACATTTCTAAGCTTTTTGACCGGATAAATTATTTTTTTATTGACATTTATTGAAAAAAAAAGTTATAATTAATCAATACAATCCAAGTGCAGAGGACGGTAAAACCAAGCTGGTTATCAAACAATTTTAATAAATTTTCATTTTTTTTCCTCCGATTATTTTAAAAAGCACTGAGCATTTTGAATTTCGACCTCCTAAAAGTACCAACTAGATCCAATTTGCTTCCAAAAACATACATCGGGCATTGAAGTTTATGATCAGAGCATTTTTTCTACCAGAAAAGGTGTGAAGTTATACAAACATTTTAAAATATCTCAAATAAACGTCTGAAATTATTAGACTGGACAAAATAAAAATAAAATTGTAACCAGTTGTCAACCCCCCCCCCCCATTGAAAAATACTGCGTACGCCACTGTTTGTATGTTTATTAATATTAATATGAACTTTGTATTTCAGGACAAGCAGTGCAATGTCTGGTAAGATGGACTTTAGAGAAGCACTTTCAGCTCGACTTCAGATAATTAAACCATCGCTGCAACAAATTCGAAATTTCATCAAAGACCGTCCGTTCAATTTGACCCCAGGCATTAAGTAAATTGAATCAATTAAATATACAAAAAAAAAAAAAAACAATTGTACTAGGTATGATGTAAGCTTTTTTTCATCGAAATTGTACTGTTAGTCAAGATTAGCCACTTTAAAGTTAATCATTTATTGAGTATTAAATGATAATATTTATCATTTATAGGGAACTTGTTGGATTATTGCAACAGAAGAACGTTCCCGTGTACTTGATATCTGGCGGATTCCGTGGCCTCATCGGACCAATAGCTATCGAACTAAGCATTCCACTACAACACATCCACGCCAATAAATTAAAGTTTTTTTTAAACGGTGAGAATTATAAAAACGATAACATAATATTATATTTAAATATGAACAAACACACATAAATATTTTAATATCTAATTAATAAATATGAAATATATTTTTGATTTTGTTTTTGTTTTTGATAATATTGAAACTTTAATATTTTGAAATGGATTATATGAATTTTGCATGTAAAGTTTAGTTAAAGAATTGTCATGTTATTTAATTTATCGTATTCTCCGTTTAATATAATAAAAATCAATATTATTGTTTGTTATTGTGTATTGCGTTTCATACGTTACATAATTTTTTTACGTTTAATTTATCATTTATGGGTTCCATATTTTAATTTTCATAGGTATGTACGAACATTACATTTTACTATTTTTGACGCTCTTCATCCATATAAAATACTTAAATACCTATGAAAATTAAAATTCTTGTAAAATAAATTTAATACCCTCGAAATAAATTACACATGTTTATATCTTGATGGATTCTACGTGATTATTACGTAGAATCATAATTTTTTTATGGTGAAGACGAACATTATGTATACTATAATATTTACTTATAATATATTTTGTATGTATAGGAGACTATGCAGGATTTGACGAAAAAGAACCTACATCAAAGAATGGTGGTAAAGCTGAAGTCATACAAATGTTAAAAGAAAAATACGGTTATACAAAATTGTTTATGATTGGAGATGGAATTACTGATTTAGAAGCATCTCCACCAGCTGACGCATTCATTGGTAAATTTCCAAATTATAATATTACATTAAATAGAGGAAAATTAAAATAATATCACAGGCCCAACAATATTAATGTTTGATTTGTACACCAACATTCTGTTTGTTTTTTTTGTTCAAACTTTTATACTTTTGTACTTTTGTATCTTCCAACAAATACCATTACTTATCTTAATTTTATTTGTAGATTTATCAATATTGTAAAATTATTTTGTTAAGGGTTTGGCGGCAATGTTGTTCGAGAAGAAGTAAAGTCGAAGTCAAAATGGTACATTGAAAGTTTTCAAGAGCTTATCGATACTCTCCAGTGATTTTTCAAAAGACTTCACAATTTGTTATAATAAAAAATTATAACTGTTAAGTATTGTGTCTAAATAACTATGTACCTTTAGAAATATATGAGACGACATAAGTACTGCAGCACATGTACTCACTAATCCCTATGGGTACTTACTTATTATTTTTACTCCTATAACTTGGAGATAACGAACACAACAGTTATACTTAATTATTATATATATTTTTATTTTATACATGAACCTTATGTAATTGTTTTATATTTTTAATGAATAATTTATACCCAACAACTAGTACATACAGTTTAATAAAATATAAACTTATCTATGGGTGTATTTTATTTATTGAAAACCATAAATTCTATAAATGGCTTCTCAATGTCTTGTTCTTCTATTTAACCATTAACCTATAATAATATTGGTTTAATATTATTAAGTTTACTTACCAAATCTTTATTGTATAATGTTAGGTTGGTCCTTATTTGTATAACTGTAGAAAAAAAATGAAACCCATTTTTTACTATAATAAAGTAGTTTTGATTAAATTTGGTCCTATGTCCCTATGGCCCATATGCATAATATTATATATCACATACTAAGTTGAATTTTAGATTCTGAGTGAAACGATGAATGTATTGATTTTACAATGATGTGTGTTTTTTTATTTTTTTATTTTTTTTGTATCTGTGTACACGATAAGTAGTCGAAATAATGCTTCGATTTTCGACTTCAGTATCTTGTTCGATTGGAAAGTGAATATCGTTGGTGCAATGGGGAGGTCAAAATTTAAATTTCCCAGTAGTTTTCACAAGCGCCGGGAAAAACAACATAAAAATTAAGGAAAAACGGGAATTTTTACGCAAAATTGATTTTCCAAAAAATCGATTTTGGTTATTGGTGTAACTCTAAAACAAATGAACGTATATACATGAAATTTTCACTGGTTGTTTATATTTGCATTTTCTATACACGATAACATTTTCAAAATATTTTGATTTATTTTGAACTGTTTAGGGACATTTTCATTTTCCATTTTTTTTTAGTTTTTTTTCTAAAAATTTCAATAAAATTTTATTTGTTGGTTGCGAAAGCTTGAAAATTTAATAGAAGGCTCCTAATATGTTGTTTCAAAGGCAGATGAAAAATATTAAAAATCCTTAGTCACAATTTTTTTTTATAAGCATTTAAAGTTCAAAAATTGACAAAATATGGAAAAATCACGAAAATTAGCAAATTATTTTGAGTTAAGAATTCGTAAAAAATTTTCTTTTTAAATCTAAGATTTGAAAATCTAATACAAGATTACTCATAAGATTGTCTACCTTTATCAATAAAAAAATTTCTACCGGAAAGTCAAATTAAATTTTTATGAGCGTTTGAAATTCAAATTTTTACAACATTGGATATTCACTCGATTTCTCATGTGGCTATTTCCTTTTTTGTTGTAATTAAAAAACGAATTACTGTAGATACACGAAAATTTCACTGAATGTTTATATTAGCATTTCCTATACACCCTACAATTTTGAAAATATTTTGACACTTTTTGAGCCGTTTACGGACATTTTCAGTTTTCAATTTTTTTAGTTTTTTTTTTCTATAAATATCAATTAAGTTTTATCTGTTGGGCCAAAAAGTGTAAAAATTTAATACAAGGCTCCTGATATATTGTTACAATATCAGTTGAAAAATATTAAAAATACATAGGCACAATTTTTTTTATAAGCATTTTAACATCGAATTTTGATAGAATTTTTCAAAATCTCGAAAATTATTAATCATCGTAATTAATAAATTATAAAATGTTCAGTTTTTATAGCTAAGGATTGAAAATTTAAAACAAGATTCCACGTAAGTAGTTAATTCTCTTACCGAAAAATCTAAAAAATATACAATCACAGTTTACTTTTATAGTCATTTTATGTTCAAATTTGGACGAAATTACATATTAAAAAACCTAGTTATTTTGTTGTGATTATATAATATTATTCGTGGGTACCTACTTGAAACTTCTAAAGTGTACTATTATATATATATGATAGTATCAGGGTTTGTTGTTGATGTTGATGTATAACGTGTTATAAGTACCTAATGGATATTGTGATAATGTGATATGATTAATTTGGAATTTATTATAGGTCAATTTTTTTTTAATACTATAGATATGTATATAATTTGTATTAAACCTAGACTGACATACCGTCTTCGCTCAGAATCGTTTTTCTTATACAATGATATTGTATCATTGAATTCAAATTTAATAGCATCCATTATACAGTGACCCACTTGTAACCTACTGTACAGCAGAGCGACATCCACTTACCCACCTTTTTTTTTCCTTAACAATAATATTATTATAAAAAATATTTTACTTCAATTTTCGTCCCAAGTGGCGGTAAAGTGGTAACCCCAATTATTATTATTACACGGCGTCGTAGATAGGCCATAAAGGGCACATCGTTGTCGACGGTACATAATATATTGTATTTGAATCTGATGAGCAAGTGTCATCAATTTACGATTTAACTCGGCTCAAATTAACGAGTATAATAGGTATTAAGGAAAAATTAGTATTTAAACGGTGCGTACTCTATGTGTGCCACCGCATCGTAAAATAATTAAAGTCTTGGTTTGTTCGCTGGTAATTATTACTAATTACGCTTTTTTATTCCTATTTATTTGTATACATCTATACGTGTATTTTCACCAATATTTATTTTGTAAACGTTCTTTTTAACTCATTCCACACTTAGTATTATATACTTCGTTATAACCGAAGTTATTGAAGTTGTACAAATATAATTTTTTAAGTGTTTGGACAATCATTCAGTATGGAATATATGTGTCAATGTATATCGTATAAATATGTAATAACTAATAAGTATACAATGGCGTATACAAAGGTGGCGTGAGGGGTCAGATCATGGCCTTTTTTTTTTTGAAATTTTTTAAATAGCGTGTTACCTACTTTAAAACCTACTTTTTTTATACATGGTTTTATACACTGGTTAGAAATAATTAAATGCTTATGTTATTTATTTTAATTTAATAATTTTTCTTAATGATGCTGTTATGTTTGTTTAAAATTTAAAATTAAAAGTTTGTCTATCCGCAACAATGGCATGCTAGTTATTTGTGCCATAGCGGCCAATAGTGATAGAGTATTAATTGTAACTAGTAAAAATATAATTACTAATTAGACTCAAATTAGTATTTACTAAAGGGGGTCCGTGAGGTGACCGACTTTATTTTCGACTTATTTAAGGTTGAGAAACGATGGTGTAGGTAAGTAGGTTTAGTGTATACTGTATACCAATAATAATAATATGTCAAATGCTTGCTATAAATAATTCAAACGTGTATAGTGTATATACCTATTGTATATTGACAGGTTGCGGTTCCCAGTTGTGAAGTTTAAAAGCAAATGGTAATGACTTTTTGTAGGTACCTATAATGTTATGTATATTTAAGTATGCTGTTTTCGGCAGTGTCCGACAACGGTGTAAATGGGCTGCGAGGGTCGAGAAAATCAATATAGATGTTTCATAACAACTGTATATGTGCACCTGCATGGCCATATATATTTTACACGGTGTACGACCCCAGACGTAGGTCCTTTAATATGATGATTAATTTTTTTTGAGCCCCCTATTTTATTATTATACAATAGTATACAACTGTACACACCTAAATAGCTTTAAAACGGCTATAGTGAACGAACGCTTTTCGTAAACACGCTAACCGTTGTCAACTACGACTTTTATACGAGCAGTAAGCGCCTCTACATTATGTGCCATATATAATTATCAGGGCTCGGGACTTAAAGCATTTGCTTATTTTTTTAGATTGATATAAAATGTAGCAGAGTACTATAGAAGTGTATATCATGTTACAACACATTCAATTATGAAATTTGAGAGTGCTTTTTTTTGCTTTTTTCAGTGATTTTTCAAAAAATGCTTATTTCAAGTTTTTATGATATTTATTGCTTTTTTGACCAGTTTTCATACTTTTTTATGGTTTTCTACTGCAAAGTTGTTTTTGATAGAATTAAAATTAATAATAATTTAAATAAAAAAATTTATTAAAATTTATTAAAAATTTTTTTTTTTCAACTATTTGTAAATATTGTTTACATTTTCTTTTTCAGAAAATCCCATGGAAAATCCATAAAATCCTCAGTCCTGAAAATGAAGTTTAATTTTTTTATAATATAAAGATAAATTTTTATTTTTATTTTATTGTTTTTTTTTTTAATAAATATTTTTGCTTAAATTTAAGTTTTTTAAATGCTTATTTGAGTGCTTATAATGATGTTTTTAAGTGCTTATTTAAGCGCTTATTTTAATGATTTTAAGTGCTTTAAGTCCCGAGCCCTGATAATTATTATCAGTGGTTCCCAAAACCCCAACCGCTGTTGTGCTTGACCATACGACACACACAGGAAATAGTTCCTCTGGTCTTTTTTTTGTAGGCATATGCAAATTCGAACGGTCTACGAATACACAGAAAACGGAACCTTCTGTACCCATAATATACCGAAAAGATCTCCGATCCAATTTAAGTCTAAGCCGCGGCTCAATGCTACCTGCGAACCACTGCAATATATACAGTATTTACCTACCTATATTGTCGTTTTACAGCACGGTTAAGTTCTTCTGCATTATAGTGACGTAATTAATTCAAACGTCATCGTACTTTTATAATAATATTATGATTGTCAGTGTAGTTGTCACGCAGCGAAAGGATCAAACTTTTGAAACCTCGATTATTTTTATAACAAGATTAATTATACGAGTATAATGTCTAATATAATGGATCTATAAGTGTCGACGTCACTGCGGAGTGCGCATAATACGGTATTGGCATATATTCTCTGTCTTGAAACCATTAATAAATATTTAAAAAAAAAAACCTATTTTTAGATTTTTAACGAACGATTAGACAAACAGTATGGATGGTTCGAGGACAGTTGTTCGACAGAACCGTTCCGAGGGCCTTTAATACCTATTATC